TCGATACCACATTTGCGTGACCGCGATAAAACAAGCAGCTATTATTGGTAACCCATAATCAGCATCGAGGACCAGAGCGCCTAGGCTTCAAGAGATACTCACGTATACCGGCTTCAAAGAGACCCAAAAACATCCGGCAGACCAACAAGCCCGCAAAGGTATTTGCCGGGGTCATACAGGTCAGGGCAATGCCCCAGCAAAGGGTTGTACATGCCAGAAACTTTCCAATCGGAACCTTAACTAATATATAAGCAACGAAAGGTTGGGCAACGAGTTGCACTAGGTAAACGACTGCTCCTAGCCAGGAATACTGCTGTCCATGGAGGTTAGCTGTCTCGACGAGACCAAAAATGGATGCATATGAAAGACTCGACTTGTCGAGTTGCTGCAAGAAATATATCCCAAGAAGAATGGGTAAAAGCCTCAGGTCGATCTTTCGAAGCACTCGGGCGTTGTTCTCAGCTGTGAGGACAGATGAGTGTCCTGCATCTGCTATAAGGTCTAGGGCTCTGTCTTGTCCAGGTCCAACTATGTGCTCCCTGTCCTGGCGAGTAGGATTTTCAACAGACTCTATATGCTCGTCTTGACCTTGCTCTCCTGACACTGCTGCTTTGTGATGAGACATTTTCTTCTTCTCCTTTTTAGGTCCTCTAGCTGGACTCAGCTAGCTCTGGAGTTTAGAATCCGTGGTACTAGAAAAGAGAATCTTGAAAGAAATAGAAGTATCTTTTGGTTTCAGAATTTCTCCAACGCGCAGAGCAGATGGTGATAGATACCAAGAGGAGTGAGCCAGCACAGGAGGATATTTGCTTCCATACTCTCAGATTTTCTAAAGGTATACTATACTAGCCTTGATAGGAGAACCCCGTGGGGAACACATCACCCCAAGCCCCGGATAAAACTTCCAAAAGCCGAAGGGGGAGCAAATCCATCAAGCCAAGGCTCGTTCTGTAGACCATACGAGGATTAGTGCGGACCGGGCCATCAATGCCGGCAAAACACAACGGGACGGCATGTCACGACTCGTGACGAACGTCGGGCATCTTCCGACGATGCGTCCAATGATTCCCATCGTTCTTTCACCGTGTAGGACAAGAAACGCAATGGTGGGGATATTGTAGTCTTAAAGAAGATTAGTATCGGTGTTCGGTTAGAAAAACCGACATGTTGCCAAGAGCGTGGAGATGTCGTGTGGGGAAAGCAACCACAGTTGTCGGACATGGGCCCGAAGTCCGATGTATACACGGTAGTTGCCCTGGAGGAGTCCCGATGACGCAGATGTGGTAGATGTGCGTAGAAACATTCAAATAGAGCTTCAAGACTTGGTATATTCCGCTGATTTGAACTCATCTTTAATTGTGTTTTTTTCAGACCGCTTAACCAGCAATCATGCCTCAGAAAGAGTTTTGTCCTAAGAGCTATCAGGAGACTTCAACAGGAGCTCAGAGCTCCGCCGCTGTACACCTCCGTTCGGGTTCAGACAAGAGGCAATTTGACTTCTCATTCGAGCCAATCCGTGAAAATCTATTCAGAGTCACCTTTTCTTCCGAGGATCATCCTCTCCCCCCTTTTCCGAGTGTGACCAAGCCAGTGACCAGCTTGGAAGACGTCCATGTTTCTACAGAACATGGCTCTCAACAAAAGACCATCGAAGTTGGTGATATCACAGCCTCTGTTGAGTGGGCCAACACTCCAGTGGTCTCGCTCTCGTGGAAGGGCACCGAAAAGCCTTTGTACAGAGATCTTCCCTTGCGGTCTTATGTAGCCGACGCATCTGGAATTGCGCACTACACTGAACATGACCGAAATGACCTCCATGTTGGACTAGGGGAGAAGAGAGCCCCTATGGATCTCAGTGGTCGGCATTTCCAACTCTCAGCCACGGACAGTTTTGGATACGATGTGTATAATACCGACCCCCTATACAAGCACATCCCTCTTTTGATTAAGGCATCTCCTGCGGGATGTGTTGCCATCTTCTCGACCACACACGGCAGAGGAACGTGGTCCGTTGGCTCGGAGGTTGACGGCCTTTGGGGCCATTTCAAAGTCTACCGTCAAGACTACGGTGGCCTCGAACAATATCTCATTGTCGGAAAGACACTCAAGGACGTCGTGAGGTCGTATGCAGAGCTTGTCGGCCACCCGATCCTCGTCCCCAGATGGGCCTACGGATACATCTCCGGAGGATACAAGTATACCATGATGGATGAGCCACCCGCACACCAAGCGCTCATGGATTTCGCCGACAAATTGAAAGAGCATGAAATTCCCTGTTCGGCGCATCAAATGAGCTCCGGCTACTCAATTGCCGAAGTCGAACCCAAAGTTCGCAATGTCTTCACTTGGAACAAGTACCGGTTCCCCAATCCGGAAGAGTGGATTGCCAAGTATCATTCACGAGGAATTCGACTCATTACCAACATCAAGCCATTTTTGCTTGGCTCCCACCCAGACTTCCAGAAGCTTATTGATGGAAATGGATTCTTTAAGAACCCCGAGACCAATGAGCCGGGGTATATGAGATTGTGGAGTGCTGGCGGAGCAACTGGGGGTGACGGATGCCATATCGATTTCACTTCAGCCGTCGCATTCAAGTGGTGGTACAATGGAGTCCAGAGTCTGAAGCGCGCCGGCATAGATGGAATGTGGAATGACAACAACGAATACACGCTTCCAGATGACGATTGGCAGCTTGCTGTCGATGAACCAACTGTTTCCGACGGTGCCAAGACGGGGGTTAAGGCCACTGTTGGTGACTGGGGACGTGCAATGCACACAGAGCTCATGGGCAAAGCCTCTCATGACGCCCTGCTCGATCTTGAGCCCAACCAGAGACCTTTCGTTCTGACTCGGAGTGCTACGGCTGGTACGATGCGCTACGCAGCTAGCACGTGGAGTGGAGACAACGTTACCAGCTGGGAAAGCATGAAAGGTGCAAATGCATTGTCCCTCAATGCAGGTATCTCGCTTTTGCAGTGTTGTGGACACGATATTGGAGGTTTCGAAGGACCTCAACCGTCACCAGAGCTGCTCCTCAGATGGATCCAACTGGGTATCCACTCCCCTCGATTTGCCATTAACTGCTTCAAGACGTCGCCCGAAAACAACTCCGTTGGAGAGGTCATTGAACCTTGGATGTACCCCGAGATCACACCTCTCGTCCGGGACACCATCAAGCGTCGCTATGAGATCCTTCCTTACATTTACTCTCTAGGTTTGGAGAGCCACTTGACCGCCTCTCCACCCCAGCGCTGGGTGGGCTGGGGCTACGAGTCTGATCCTGAGGTCTGGACTAAGGCACTTAAGTCCGGGGACGAGCAGTTCTGGTTTGGTGACACTATTATGGTTGGTGGCGTCTACCAACCAGGCGTGAGCGTCGCCAAGTTGTATCTTCCCCGGAAGGCCAATGACCAGTTTGATTTTGGATATGTGAACATGAACGAGCCTTATACCTATTTCGCTTCCGGGCAATGGGTTGAGGTTCCATCCGAGTGGCAGAAGAGTATCCCCCTCTTGGCCCGGATTGGTGGTGCAATCCCAGTTGGAAAGTCTGTACACACCCGAGTGCCTGGTGATGAAACTCCGGCGTCCGTGGCCGTTGAGGAGCTCGATGATTACAGAGGTGTTGAGATCTTCCCGCCTCGTGGCAGCTCGCATGGCCAAGCTTTCAGCACCACTTGGTTTGAAGATGACGGAATCTCGCTGAAGCCAAGCATCTCACAGTACACCGTTAGCTACAGCTCGACGGAGGAGAAGGTAACAGTTGGTTTCACTCGGGATCAGAAATCTGGATTCGTTCCGGCCTGGAAGGAATTGGACATCATCCTCCATAACGGCGATGAGAGACGGGTTGTTTCTGATATCGGAAAGCCGGTGGAGTACAAGGGAAGAGACTCCCGCGGACGTGTGGTGTATACTCTGAAGAACTAAGAAACAGGAGGTTTTGCTGCTGGCTTGGTAAATCCCACCGTGTGTTTCAATTGCATGTCGAGGGGCGGAGTTCCCCAGTGGAAGAACTGTATCATGATTGCTTGCGGCGTTTAAGAAGTCAATAGAGAATATAGATTTGCATCTTCATATTATATACTTTACGAAGTCCCAATAGAGTGTGTTGTGTATGTACAAACTTCCACAGTCTGTAGAAGAGTAGAGCAAGGAAGGTGGATGGCAGTACCCTGTCTGTCGGGTTCTAGTTAGTCCCATTGTTCAATGGTCTGCGTACAACACCTTGTTCTGGATACCTCAGTATTCGATCCTCAGAATCACCCTCTCACCGCCGCCATCTAAGAACCAAGGGATTAGAATGACATGTCGCTATGAACTTTCCGCTTCTGAGATCGTTGCGTTCCAGGATACCCTGTGATCAATGTCGGTTTCTGTGATCCGATGTAGACGGCATTTCTGCGCTCTCCACACGTCATTCCAAGGCTATATAACTATCCATACATGTTTCCCTTAGCTAGATAATGAACGGTCAGCTTTAGTATGGCTGGTATGTATAAGTGAAGACTGTATATTCCTCTCGGATTCAGTGTCCTGATCGAACCAAGTGGTGTCAATGCACAAGGCTTGGTGAGGTTGGTGATTTCGGAGGCTAACATGTGGTGCATAGAGATTTGTTGTAATATAGTGTGTGTAGAGCGTCGAATTGATAATGACTCGTAGGGGCCAGTTCACGACACTGCCTGGTCCATAGGGAAGTGCCTTGGAAAGACGCTCTGTTTCACCTTCCGGAGAAACAGTAGTTGAGGAATTGCCATTCTACCAATTATTTGGTTAAAGGAGGGTCATGAGGGTGGTATTTGGGCTTTGGAAAGCGTTGGATAAGTGAAGAAGGACATAGCCACACAAGGAAACCTGATTCTGAAGTACGGGATACATGACAGTGAGTCTTTCTATGATGATCTGATCGATATCGTAGGATCACCCAAGACGGGTTTGCGAGTAGGGGACACGAGGACCACAAGATACGGTAGGAACGCACGCTATGCACACTTTCACACCAGCTTAAGATCCCTTACCAAGTATTCCCAATCACCCATCCCTAGTGTAACACCTCCATCTATACCATCTTCATGATATTTGAAGCTTCGGTAAGCAATACCGATTCTCTCATACTCTTCCTCTCTTGCCTCCGCTCGCCGCACTATGAGCCATGATTCGTCAGTACAAATGTGGCTTTTTGTTCGGGAGTTGAACTGTCCTAGTCGGATATACCCCCATGACGGAGCGTTGAAGGTAGAAGACCCGGTTTCGGAATCTGCTGATGCCGTTCCCCAAACTTCCTGCTGGGCCATAGTATCCAAACATAATTTTGTGAAATAGGACGCAGGACCATCGTAAACTCTTGCTCTAATGTTTAACCACCCGCCAATAATGATAGTGAATGGATCGTTAACGTTTCCTAGAGTTACCATTTTACTGTCCACGTAACGGAGATCATGGTCCTCTTCAAAATCCCTCAATGGATACTGGAATTCATGGTCAGATGAAGCCCAGGTCCAGGTCGGCCTGCGTCGAGAATTAGAACTGTTGAACAGTTCAGAAGGATATGCTGATCCATGCTTAGGAGTTTCAAGCCAACCTAACCCGAAACCCAGGTGATTCGTCCATAGACCAGCAATATAAGGTACGCCTGTTCGTTCGTGCAGAGATCTCGCAATTCCAGCTATGGCGATAAGTCGATCTTTCATCAGAGTGAACTGCCTACTAGAGTATCCGGATCCAATGAGCCAGTCGTACCAAATATGCTTTATCTTACCAGGAGAGATCTCTCGATGCATAGCCAAGGACAGAGTATCATGGGGTGTGAGAAAAGGGAGACGATCCTCCATCTCATATACTTCTCGGCATTCCCAAACCAGTTGGGAGTTTGTGAAATGAATCGTCCTCGGTGATAAGATTCTTTCCTGAAATACCCATCCACGCTGGCTCAGAGAACAGCCAATCAAGGGTGCAGGTTCTCTCAGAGGATCATCTTCGCTTAACTTTGGCACCCAAAGGAACAAGGTCGATGTCTCGCCATTTGCGGCTAGGAGTTTGTTTGTGATTTCGATTAGAGTCCCTCCACCCAGACCATCTTGCCTTGTCCCAGTACCGCGATAGCATCCTCCGGTACTATCCTCGCTAGCACTCGCTGCGATTGTGAGGTATGACCTGTCGTATATATGGCCCATTTTGACTGATTCCTGAGCCCAGTCGGCTTGTGAGTCTTGGATGATGCATAGTGCATCAATCCACAAATACCGAATGCCAAGTCGGCGGGTAATGCTAATAGCATCCCAAAAGTTTGCCGGTAGATCATCAAGCTTAATCTTTTCCATGCGACTGAGGAGATTATATCTTGTTGTGATGGCATTGATACCGAGCCTTTTGCCCCAACAATGACTCAGTGTCATGTATTCGGGGCAGACTGGCAGGTTTTCCACTAGCCTGACATTGTGTTCGCATTCAATGCCATGGTCGTGGTCGCTGCAGAATGCTCGAACATCAACCAAGCGACGAGGTGCTCCAGAATCTACTATATCATTTGGTGCTACCGATTCAACCTCATCATTCACTGCTGCTTTTCTGAAGATAGCATGACGCCGCGATTTGAACATGCTTGTGGAACAGTGGTGGTTCATCAAGCACTCTTGCAAGCAATGTTTGATGAAGTTGAACGAGTCCTCCGACCAGGTTCCAGGCAACTGAGAAGTGATTGCCGGGACACCAAACCTCTCAGCAGGATCACCTGGAGACGTTAGCTGGGCTGATGAGCAACTACTTGCCCAAGCCTCTCCCCTACCTTTCTTCGTCATTACAAAAATAGGTTTCTCTCTGATGCCCGCACTTCTCGATAACGCAGGCGGAAGACCAGGAAGTATGGGCTTCGCCAGTTTTAGCCTATTTGTTTCTCTAGATGACTCGAGGAGAATGCAAAGCTGGCACCATTTTGTCGTTGCAGTGTGCACATATCCCAAAACCAGGTGCTCAATATTGATTGTTCGACATTGTTTACATAGATTCCTTGGTTCCCCCCGAGAATTCGCATTTGGACTTGCTCTTTGCATCCTCTTGTGCATAACCAAAGGCTGTGCTATAACTTGGTTAGGCTGTAATATACGGATTTTGTTCTGCTTGTATGCCGCACAGTCCGTACAGTATCAAGCACCTGGCAATGTTCAAGATGCGCTTTTTGACTTTACGGACAGGAAGCCATTGATCGCCATGTACCAAAGAAAGCGGGTAGTGATATATGTAATTATTCATGTTTGTTGACGTGGCTCGTCTGTATTGGCGGTTTGCAGGATTGCCGTATTTACACAGGGGCTAACGCGGCTTTTTCAGCCCCAAAGCCCATGTCAGTATCGACTTGTTCAGTTTACTTGGTACCGTATTATCGTGTGGGGAATGGCCTGCATATTGTTACCATTTCCGTGGCAGTTGTTTGTATACCAAGCAACCCGTGTCTTCATGGGAATGAATTCATTTGCTTTAATCTATTTCATTTTATCATTATCTAGCCCTAATACCTTTATCACGGAAATGCGGGGGATAAACGAATCGTCATATGTGGGGTTTATGACTCCTTCCGATCCTCTGATCGGCTATATTTTCTACCGGGCATATCTCTACATCAACCTCTACCCTCGCAAACACTAAACCAAACATACTACGAAAAGCTACAATCCTATCCGAAGGACCTCACCTGCCATCACAATCACCGCAAAAATGTCGCAACCCAAACTCGCAATCCTAGACGACTATCAGAACATCTCCCCACCCCACTTCGCCCACCTTGAATCCCGCATCTCAATCTCCTATTTCCCGGAAACGCTCGATCCCCGCGATGAACGCCAACGTGCGCTCCTGATCGAGCGCCTCCAGCCCTTTGATGTGATTCTTGCCATGCGCGAACGTACTCCGTTCTCCAAGGAAACGCTCGCCGCGCTCCCGAACTTGAAACTTCTCCTGACCACGGGCACTCGCAATCTCGCCCTGGACGTGCAATACTGTGCTTCGCGCGGAATTCCCGTCGCTGGAACATCGAGCCGATCAGGAGGGGTCCATTCTACGGTGCAACATACCTGGGCTTTGATTCTAGGGTTGGCGCGTCATGTTGCGCGGGATGATGCAGCAATTAAGCGGGGAGAATGGCAGGGGTCGCTTGGAATGACGCTTGCGGGGAAGACATTGGGATTACTGGGACTGGGCAAGTTAGGCTCGCAGGTTGGGCGGATAGCGGTTGTGGCTTTTGATATGAAGGTGATTGCGTGGTCTACGAATCTGACGCAGGAAAAGGCGGACGAACAGGCTGCGGCACAGGGGCTGCCGGCGGGTAGTTTTCAAGCTGTTCGGGACAAGGCTGAGTTTTTCCGCAGCGCGGATGTGGTGAGTCTTCATAGTGTACTGTCGGAGCGGAGTCGGGGCATCGTCGGTGCTGCGGAATTTGGGGTGATGAAGCCGACGGCGATCCTGGTGAATACGTCGCGGGGTCCGTTGGTGGAGGAGAAGGCGCTGTTGGAGACGTTGAATGCGGGACGCATCCGTGGGGCGGCCCTGGATGTTTTCGAACCCGAGCCTCTGCCCAAGGATAGCCCCTGGCGGACCACGGCGTGGGGTCAAGACGGACGGAGTGAGGTGGTGTTGTCACCGCATATGGGATATGGGGATGAACAGATTCACGGGTGGTATGATGAGGTGGCTCGTAACGTCGAGAGGTGGTTGAATGGAGAGGAATTGAACACACGGATGAATTGAGAGGGGGGAATCAACATTTTGTCGCGGAAGATCCAGGATGGTATGTGGGACAATTGAAGAGGCTAAGAGGCCAAGTTGCATACGATGTACATAAGTGTGATGCATGTGATCCGGAGGAGTACCCTTTTTGGTTAAGGTGTGCTTCACCGAGACCCAATCTGTCCTTAGAGGTATTTTTTCTGCTGTGCAAATGAAGCTTAATTAAAAGACTCGTTCCGTCGTATTCTGGGTTTCAACTTTCATGTGGATTTCGTCATAGTGGGGGGATCCCCGTGGACCAAGAGAATCGAAAACTGTTTTCTGTACCTCGGGTCCTGTGTCAGTGCAAAACCGTCAGATCCTCGTTCGAGAGAACTGAGTAAGGCATACAGGGTTGGAGGTTTCATATGGAAGAAGTCATGATTCATACAAGTCCAGTCATATGATCTAGAGACAAGTGAGCAAACATAAAGTCAATGGAGAGTCGCTGATGTGATTACATAAGGCCGCCTCGGGTCAGCCGAGGCACCGCCGGAACTGTAATCGAACTATCAATCAATAATCAGTCCATCGGAAACGCCAGCTACCCCCAACCCTAATCTTACTTCAACTCATTTAACCCGCACATCGGCATTTAGGCTCGACACGTAGCCTCCCAAGCCATGCCATTCATAGATTAGGTATGACTGACGCCTAAGACATGGCCCCACTCACCTCCATTCCATGCCTCCGCGGGCAGGATCCTCGGGACAAGGGATGGGAGTCACGGCTGGATGCGGAAATCTATAAAGACGATGTAGGATCTCGAGGGTATCCTACTCCCCCCGCCCCCACTACTACGTCTCTAACTGCCATCCCTCACTCCCTTCTTCGTCTACGCCTTGGATTAAAAGCTTCCGCCCACTGAAAGCACTCAACAATCCCTCTCATCCTTCTCAATTACACCATATCTATATACAAAAACATCCAAGATGTCTCCAATCGCTGTACAACCTTCAACGGCCACCGCATCCACCACTACCACAACCATCCTCCCTACCTCCATTGTGACACCCCCGACTCACCCTGACATACTCCGAGTCGACCGTGGCGCAAAGGCCTTCTCCTCCAGCGCCGTGTCCCTCGTCTCACTGCCCGCCGGCTCCCTCTTCGCCAAGATCACCACAGCCACTCCCTCCAAGAAAGCATACACTTCGGTACAGACCGGTGCCAACAGCCACATCGAACTGAACTCCGATCTCGTCTACTGCAACCACTCATGCAACCCATCGCTGAACTTCGACATGGGCAAGATGGAGGTCCGAGTCGTCGATGATCGTGACCTGAAGGTGGGCGACCAGCTCACGTTTTTCTACCCCAGCAGTGAGTGGGACATGGACCAGCCATTCCAGTGCAACTGTGGAGCTGGCGAGGGTGTATGCAAGGGGTTGATCGATGGGGCAAAGAAGATGGACCGGAAGGATCTGGAGGCATACTGGCTAAACGACCACATCAAGGAGTTGTTGCAGCAGAGGGACTCTTCGTGATCTAAAATTATATACGATGAAATAAAGGAGCAGACTGGGGTGGACGTTGTGTACTTACGGATATTAGATACCAGACGATAGACATAAATCTCAAATCTCTAGACGAAAACTTCCAGGTGGAAGATTATTCCGGATATCGTATGGAAAATAGTATACAATGTCGTTAATCATTTCATTGACTCATGAGTGCGGTGGCTTTAATCTCATCCATCCTCTGCTGCAAAGCAGCCACCTTATTCCGCATTGAATTGACCTTCTCAGCCAGTGAGGTATGCTCCAGCTCCGCGTGTAATTTCCTCACCTCCTCCTGAGCCCTAAAGAACTCCTCGTATTCTTCCCTTTCCAGACATACACCATACCCTTCACAATAACAGACCCGCTCATCCGGACAAACTTCAGCTTGCCCCGTAAAGATCCACTGCCATAAGTACTCCCACACCCGTCCAGACAGATTGTCGTCCAACTCCGTCTCGATCAACCACCTCCGGTACGCCACATAGTTCATCAGCGGCACCCGCCGAATCACCTCCGCACTGACCGCAAACTGACTGCAACACGGCTGCGCCAGCACAGCCGGCATACTCTCCTCCGGAAATAGCGTCTTCCAAGACTCTCCGATGGCCCCTGCTTCGGGCACTTCCGGGTTATACTGCCCGCCCGCAGGGGCGGGTCGAATTTGAGCCGAACAGCCGGGGTCGTGTTGACATCGCAAGTTCGTGTATCCTCTTTTGTAAACATAGTCGTTCCGCAGACGACGAACCATCAGCGCCGAATCCATGTTCATGAGATCGTTGTTGTGCCAGGAGATTTGGTCCGCATGCATGAAGACCGTCACGTCGCGAAGCTGAAAGTAATGATCGATGATATATGTCAGATACACCATGACCTCGTGGCCCTTGTTCATCGGCACGGTGAACGGAGTATCAGTCGTGTTCGGCGCGTCAACCGTGTACACCGCGCTGTATAACCGATCATCTTCGTTCAGGAGCATATCGACCCAGGTCGTGTCCGCATCTTTCGTCTTAGCCACGACCAGCGTACGCTCATTCGTTTTTTCCGCAGGTCTCGGCACCGTCACAAGACGGTAGATATTCCCGCCGCGCCGATGCGCAAAGAAAAAGAGATAAAGAGAACCGAAGATCAGTGCGGAGGTCGCCGCGCTGACGACCCAAGCTTGTGTCCGACGCATTCGAAACATCCACATAGTGGGCAGCACTCGGTGGGTTTTATTATCCCCTCGTCGTCCGGTTGACGTAGTGTTTACTTCCTGTCATTTTTTTTCTTTCAGCCTCTTTGCGCGGGTCGTCGCGAGGCCGGCAGCTAATAAGGGATTTGCGTCAACGACTGAGTATTAGGGCGTTGGTTGCGATCGGCACATAGCCTCGTTTGCTGAGAAGTGCCATGGCTGTCGATCGGCAACTCCTTAGTTTTGGGAGTTGGGAGCCATGAGAAATGTTGTTGGCTCGGGTTTGGGAATGTGGAGATCTTCATAAGTCGCTTGCCCCGGTGCATACGTAAACTCCTTGCTTTAGTGCTGGGGTCGGAAATATCTGACTGTGTGCTGAGGGGTCCATGGGGCTGATGGGCTCCTTTAGGGCCTTGTCTTACTCAGAATAAACCTATCATCTATGGATTATATTGATGGGTTCATGCGCAGGCAACAGTGTGGCTAAGAATATACATAAGCGATGAGTGTCATCTCACGAAGCATATAACACATTTAAGGGTAAGTTCTTATCAATCCCGGATCTAATCATATCATATCGTATCACATCGATTACCGTAACCCACATTAAGTTGAAATCTCCGCCCCTGTGATCAAGTCCATGATCGGAATTCGTCGCTTCGCACTTGCATCTTGGCCAGCGTTCCATCTCCCCATTCTCTTCTTCCCCTCCACATACTCCACAGCCCTCCTCTCCAGCATTCCCCAATCAAGTAGCGAAGAAACCCCATCGGACTTCCGAAGCCTTTCCACAGCATCTACCACCCACGAGCGACAATCGAAAGCCAACGCTTTCTCCTTATCAGGATCCTCAACCTGGTAGAAGGGCGTTTCACCAAACACCCTCTCCGCATTCTCCAGGGAGGAAACTTTCCCGATCACAACACAAACCAGCAACCGCGGTTCCAGATTAATATCCTCTACTATCACTCGCTCAAAGCGCCAGGGCTGAGAGATCCGGTTGTTGATATTCTCAATCGTGTTCTTGACATGGTATTTAGTTGCCGGGAGAGGGTTCGTGCTCTGCGCTGCTGTGACCTTGGGGGCGATTAGTAGAGCGTAGTGATAGCTTTCGGGGTGCTTGGGTCGTGCGTAGAGGGCTAGTAGAAGGCGTGGTTTGTTTCGCCGAGATTTCATAGCGCATTTACTTTCTAGATTCTCAGAGGATCTAATATGAATAGGATGTAGTCTGGTGTTGAAGCTGTTGGCTTAGACTTGCCGCTGCCCAGCTGACGCGGCATTTGTTTTGGTGGTTTGTTCCTGGTCCCTGTGCTACCGTCCCCTACTATTCCATGTTGGCACCTCACCATGCCTAGTTTAGACGCATCTCATACTCTTGATTGTATCCCGACATAATATAGTGCTCGTTGTATACGCCCTTGATCCATTTGATAAGTCCACCGTCCTAGGATCACTACCGGGGACATGTGTCCAACGATCCGGGGGAATTCTGGGTCCAGTACGCGTACAACACCATACTCCTACACTACAGGATAGGGGATAGAAGTTTAATGTCTCCTGCTAAGTCCTGACCCTGGAAGTAACTGAAGTACCCCTGAAACTAGACCGACACAGGAGATCAGCTTACGTCAAGCCTGGCCCACTGACACATGATTTGCGAATCAAAAGCAATCTTAAATATGCTTAACGCTTACTTCGCACTCTATCCCGAATCACCAATCCGCCATTCCAAATGACATCTATATATCTATAACCAACCATCTATCAAACCAAGCCATATAAATCACACTTCATACACAGAAATCCACCCATGACTTGTGCAATCTAACTATCCAGCCAAAAAAAAAAAAGAAAAAAGAAAAAAAACCTTTTAAACCCCAACTCACTCCTGCGCCTTCACCCAAGCGTCTCCCCCAGAAACAACCGTACTGATCACCATCGTCACGCTAATCATCAGATCACTAATCTGCATCCAGCCGACGAACACCCCCGGAATCAGGAGATCGCATCCGTCGGCCACGATGCGCTTCATGAGGGCAGTTCTCTGGGCCTTGGCTTGAGAATCGTCGGTATTGGGTGCCGTCTTCTCGGCATTCTTGTTCTCTTTCTTTTTCTCATTGTTGCTGGTCTTATTACTAGCAGGTGAAGATGAAGTAAATAGTAAACCGCAAACAGCACCAAAGACGGATAATGCAAGAGAATAGAACCAGAATTTGAAGGCTTCGACCAGGACAGGCGTATTCCAGGCGACGGGGTGGACGCCCAACGCATGGAGCTGTTTATCTTATTAACATGTCCATCTATCTCATTGGGGTCTCGAGAAGGAACCCATGCTCAAAAAGAAAGAGGGGGAAACTCACAATAGTCAAGTCCTCCAGCACAAGATACAGCCCCAAACAACTCCACCTCCCAATTTCAACCAAGGTCATAAACAACCCCAGACTCTGCGCCCCGCCAAGCAGCCCATACACCTGGCTAAAGCAATCGATGAACGCGAAGAAGCGGAAAAACCGTCTCGCTGTTCATGTGTTCAATTATTGATTAACATCTCATTTTTCGATTTACTTATTTGTAGAGGTGCGCGGAACTTACTCAGCGCGATTTGCGATATGGCAGTCTCCCATTGCGCGGTTGTGGTTGACCCCGGGGGAATATTGAGCTGTATTACGATTTGGGCGAAGGATTGAATGAGACGGCAGGTCTTCTCGAGGCCTGTGACTGTGTGGATGAAGTTGGAAAATTGGCGGACGAGGTTTGGTTTGGGCTTTTGGGTGAGCGGTTTGACTGCCATTTTCTTTTTCTTTTTCTTTTCTTCTTTATCACTTGTTGGATATGTTGTGGAGGTACATAAACTATGTATCGGTACGTGAGACGCGGGTAGTTTGGGTTAGTTATATGAGTCTCGGACCGGGGTTGACATTGTATCTTATAGGTGATAAGATGAGGATAGCTGTTCTTATTGGTAATTACGGCCGCGCTTCCGAGCCGTTGCCGAGCGGCATTATCACCATACGGGTAAATTGGCGCGATTGACACATCCTTTGCAATGAACATATTTGGATGGAGTATGATGAAAAAAAACTGTGGGGCTTTTATTGGTACTCTTTGCTGGCTGGTCAATTTAAGCTCCATTTCTATTGTTCCACGGATAAATATCCTCTTTCATGGGTTAGCACTTACGGAGTGGATACCTTGCTTTGACAGTGTACTAGAATGATTTTTTCTTGATTTGTTGCGTGAATATATCGAGGTTCTGGACAATGTAAAATATTACCAAGTTTACTAATAACCAAACACCATAACTATAGCAGGCAATTGTATCTTTCTATATACACAGTAGTTCCACTATATTCTCTATCAATTATAGCACTATATATTTGGAGTATCGGCTACTCCGGTTCCAAAAGTCTTTACCGATTTAATAATTTAATCGTACAGTACTTTATCGCTCTTAAACCGTTGCATTTATAGACTTAAGGATTATCACCGCTATCTTCAGATACCATAGCCCCTAAATTAGGCATTATAACCACTGATTTTAGGTAGCGCAATCCCCAAGCGTAGATACTACTAGTATTAATACTCCTCCTCCTTCCCCACCTCTTCATATTATAATAAGATCCTCAGTTTAGCTAAAAGCTTCGAACCAATGAATTAGTACTAAATATCTTAGTACAATGATTAGTACCAAATAATATATGGTTAATTTCGCGAGACGCACTGTGAGATGTACTGTTACGTGAAAGAGGAGTGGTTTCTTTAAGACTGAGACTGCAAATGCCGCTTTCTCTCTCTAGGCCTCTCGGTCATCTCGTAGGCGAAGGTAAGCCAGGCTACCTGTCAAGCGTGACAGAGATCGAAACATATTGGTATACAAATGTTTAAAAGAAAGCCGATAAATAGATCCTGCCAACTGTGATACTATAAACTCCGCTCATTGCCATCAGTCAATTGGTTAACCTGGGAGAAACGTTCTCTGATCTCGGGGGCCTCCAAGTTCATTTTATACTTGGATGAGATGCTTTCGTGGGACTGAGGAAGGAAAAAAGTTCAACTCCCCACTCGGATGTATGCAATCATCCCCCCTTGGACAACTACACTGCCTTTCTGAAAACGCGGTCGTGTCGTGCAATATCGCGAGAGCCAGACGTTGCTTTGCCAGAGGCTCTACCCGAGGCCCTCGAAGGGGGCTGGTTCTCTTAGAAGTTATGCCGCCGACATCCTCGTCGTAGTGCCACCAGCTCCTCCTTCTCGTCAGAGTCAAAAGTAAAGTCCGGTTCTTTGTAGACATTCTGGGGGGAACAAATCGTATCCTAGATATAAAAAGTAAGCAGAGATCAGTCATAAAGAATATCAATTTTCTTACTGGGGGTTCCTGTAAATGTAATGGGGACAAGTTCCGGGATTGTCCAGAACCCGTTGATAGCTCCAGGGTCAAGCGAATTGCTCCCAGCGTCCTCAGAGCCTTAGCGAATCGAACGTTCAGGCCCTGAGCCCACAGTCAAGTTGTTCCTCAGATCGAGGCATTTCTTGTCTGTTCTTCATCAGCGGCGATATATAGAGGCCAGTTCTCTATGGTAGTGGTGGTGGTGTTTCGCCTATCCTCACATTGGATGAATGGACCTCGCTCGAGTTACCACACAGGTACTCCTTAAAAAACACCTTCAGTCTATAAGACGACATGCGGGGATGCCGATCTTTTCCCCACTGACATACTTGTGTATTAGGAATGTTAGTGGTTATTCTGGATTATTAGATTCCCAGTAGGTATTGTCTGGGTATGTAGCTTCCAAGCCTTGTTTCACTGAGAGTATTTGATAGAAAGCCCCAAAAAGAAGCGAGAAAAGCCAGGGAGAATAGTAGGGTCACTTTATGATACGAACTGTGCCTGCTACAGGGTGTAAGACTATGACACGTTATATAGCATCCGCCATAACAACTCAATTGGGTAAGGAGAGAAGGGGTGAAGTACATGATGGTCAGTCAATATGGGATGTTGCATTCTAGTGCATCGTATCGAATGAGATGAATGGATATGTTTGAACCACGGATAGTTTACTAAAGGCCTAAATATAACTACTGATCATTCCATACACGATAGTCATCAATTTGTACCTCTACAAAGAAACCAACGTTGTATTGGGCGCACAGACGAGCTATAAATAGCATTATGCACATGTGATTGGCCAAATGTACCCTCAACCCCAGATAAATAGACGCGCCCCATCAATGGAACCATTTGGTACATCCACAGTTCCATCGAAGTATGCACTCGCTACCATTCGTGGTCTTTTGCAACGTAAAGTATCTATCATGATGCCCTCCAAATCCAAGTCCCCATACAAGTTCTCCTACACAGATGCCATTCAAGGCAAAGAACTGTACAATTACTTCGGCAATCGGGTCCTTGAGTCAAGGGCATCAGGTGGCCGGATAGTCGCAGTCAAAGTCAAGCCAAAAAGAGGTTTCGTACGATCCGAGGCCGACATGATGCATTATGCCTCGCAGCAGCCTGGAATCTTAGCACCACAAGTTCTAGGCTGCTACGATGTCGATCCCGAGATTACGGTAACCGTGTCAGATCTCGTCGAGGGGCAGTCACTCGACAACATCTGGCATACCATGACCAAGGCCGAACAAAAGTCCATAAAGCAACAGCTCAAGGAGCAAGTACGTCTCTTCCGGCAGTGCACACAGCCGTACATTGGTCGTATAAAGCGACAGAAGACAAAAAACTTCTACGACCGCATCCACTTGCACTACATGGGGCCTTTTGAGTCCGAAGAGGAGTTCGATAGTTGGTGTCTTGAGCGGGTGAAATCACCCACTGCGAAGAAGATATGGGCACGGCTTCTGCCTGGGATGCGTGGAACGGGAGAACAGAAGTTTGTGCTGACACATGGAGACCTAGCTGCGCGGAACATCATGGTGAAAGATGGCAAAATCACTGGAATTGTGGATTGGGAGTGTAGTGGGTTTTTTCCGGAGTATATGGAGTATGCACTTGCGGCTGTGGTTCGTGATGGTCACGAGGGTTGGTGGAAGCCTCATCTGAAGGAAATCTTAGAGCCTTGTGGGTTCAAGAGGGCGAGGTTTACAGCTGCGATCAAGTGGAGGGGTTGGTGATCTTCGACTGGCGCTGGTACGCCCAGGTTCTTTTTCTCTTGTTTTTCTAGCCTCGATCACGCATGCCTAAAGTTACCCTTTTTGGTTTGCTTTTTTATGATATTTATATCCTCTGACGTTTTCTGCATATACCTCCTCATCTCTATGATCGTATCCCTTCCATTTACCTCATGTTATACCCATCCGAACATGTATCTTAGATAGTACGCTTCGGTATCGCCCTAATCTACTGAACATTTAATTATGTCCTGTGTATCAAGTAGCTACCATTAGATATGGAAACTACGTTACACAAGAGTAAAACATACGCCCAGCATGAAATCTCCACCTACTTTATTCACAGCTTATATCCCTTTCTCCATGCATTTTGGGATTTCTCTTCTACATCTCCCGTTCAATTTGCCAATTCTACTGTTCAACCTAGGAGAAACACATATTTTATGGAGTGCTATATATACAAGGACAAGTGCTGATCCTATAAAGATGAATAACATCAAGGAAATTCCTTTATTTCAAGCCTGACGTGTCAATAACCACGGGAGAAAATCCTCATCCGGAATTGATGCATCTCTCACCGCCACAAGGCTACACAATTGAATATCTACTTGGCCCAGTTCTAGACATACCACAAGATTCATCAAGCTGCGGAAATAGCATCTACCAGCCCGTACGGTACCCCAAAGTTGTCCAATAATCGAAAGCAGTATTTATTGGCTCAACATAGTTATCAATGAGGATCAAACAATCACAATACAACCAAACGGAACAAGTAACATTCTCGAAGTGATGAAGCACAGACATAAAAGCACAATTAGACACAATACTGAAAGAAACGTCAATGATGAACACCATCCATCCACACGCTGAATAATTTTTAAGAAAATGAGACAGGCTGACTAAATCGCAACTCATGTTGTAGCTTTCGATATCCGAAATCCCAATCAGTCAAACTCAGCTCTGACCTGTTTATGCAGGATCTGTCTCTGTCCAGGGCTTTTCCGTCAAAATATCCTATGGGTCTGGTTCCGTCGCTAGGTCCTGATTCCAGGTTTCAGTCGGTGACACCGGATTGGGCATCCATTGAAGAGGTTAGATGTACAGTGGTGAGGTATGCGAGAGGGTCCAAAAGGAAGAGTAGGAGGTATAGAAAAGGAGCGCGGAACGGGAAGGCGTCAAGCTTATTATGAATATTCTTGGAATTCCCAGTCTCAATGCTCAATTCCAAAACGAAGAACCGGAGTATCAGAGAAAGGAGATGGAAACACTAGCAGAGCGGCTTAAAGACCAAGACCACGATAAAAGTAGCGCAGGTGAGACAACATCAGAACCAAGAACACCAGAGCAGGAAAAATTCCGAGATAAAACACGAGAATGGACCGACGCTTATGCAGAAGCTTCTGCGGTCTTTTCCTCTGCTTTCTCTCCGGTAGGTTTCTCCTCTGTTGTCTTCTCCTCAGAACCCTTTGTGTCTGTGGCCTTTTCAGCGGCTGGTTCGTCGGTCTTGGGGGCCGTCTTGTCGGATTCCTCCTTTACTGCATCAGGGGCCTCGGTCTTCTCCTTAGCATCCGCATCGGTCATTTCCTCGTCCTTGGTTTCGGACTTGGTTGGCTTGGGCTCATCCTCCTTTTCGCCTTCCGTTTCTCCACGAGCAGGGGTATCCACGCTATCTTCCTTGTGGATACCGTTGGCCTTGGGCTTCCTCTCTGAAGGGCCTGGAGTGGTATCTGCATCGAGCACAGTTTTCCACTTGGACAAGAGATCCACAGCACGGCGACGGAACTGGAATTCCTCATCACGAGGAATGGAGCTAAGCTTGACAATCATCTTCAAAACCTTGTTGATCTTCGTCGAACGGATGATGGAAACCTCCAGGTCTTGATAATTTTCCAACTTAGTGAAGTAGGTTGACATCGATGTCATCTCTTCCTCCTGGGGAGGTTGGTCACGGGAAATGAAGCCCTTCTGAAGCTTATGGCGAACGAAAAGGACTGTCTCTCGTTAGTTTTCCCTTTTGCAAACGACCAGTTGGCTTCCGGGGCAATCATACTCTCTTTCTCCTTCTTGGCCTTAGCCTCCTCGGGATTGACCTGCTTCTCTGGCTCCTTAGGCGCCGCGGGAGTACTCTCCTCACCCTCATCACTGGCAGCAGCCTTGCTGGACTTCTTGCTGCTGGCAGTCTGCTTGGCCTTGCTCGAAGCAGGAGCCTTCTTCTCACTGGCAGGAGTCTTCGGGGTCGTCAGCTTGAGCTTGGTTCCGGTCTTGGGAGTCTTAGCAGGCTAAAGAAAGATCATGCACAGTTAGTATTCGAGCAGTTTTCTCCAGGCCGGCTTGTTTCCTCACCTTCTCCTCCGCGTCGGCTTCAGCATCCTTCTTCCTCTTCTTGGAGCTCTTAGGCTTCTTGGCTTCCTCGTCTGCATCTTCCATGTCAATATCTTCGTCATCGACAATCTCCATGCTCTTCCGCTTGTTCTTCTTAGCGTCCTTTTCAGCCTTAGCAGCTGCCTTTGCGGCCGCCTGGGCCTCCCGCTCTTCTTCTTCCTGTTCGATGGCGCGCTGGTGATCGGCCAACAAGCTCTTGAAGTGTTGAAGGTCGTGGCCATCAGCAGCCACGGAATATGCGGCCAAAAGCAATTTCGACTTGCCCTTCTCTGACACTTCCTTGCAGGCGGCGGGTTCGAGCGGGGTCAAATCCGTGTTAGGAATCCAGGCACTGTGATTGTCATGAGCTGACACATCCCCGAGAAAGGTGAAGCGAGGAGCATATTACTTACAATTCATTCGTTTCGAGGAACATCACGGGGAAGGTCCTCTCGTGAGCACGCTTGCCACCTTCGGCATAATCTTCCCTATAGCTGCCATCGGAGCGCTGAGCGGTCACCGGGCGTGTACCCAGAAGAGTCTGAGGAAGTATCTCCTCGTCGCAGATGATAGATGGCCAGGGTGGGTAGCTGCGAAGGCGCGCTAGATAGTACTCGCCTGGCTTCGCGTTCAGGTTCGTCATGCGAGCCTGCGACTTTTTCCGGTTCAATTTGGATTTATGTTCGGGCACGGCGCCAGTTGATTTGCGCTTTGTGCTTCCGGATTTCTTAGCCGACGCAGGGGTTCCGTTAGCCTCCGGGGCAGGGGCAGCCTCTGACTCTGCAGGTGCAGCACTCTCTTCAGGTTTCTTCGCGTCAGTAGACTCGGACGCGCCAGGCTTCTCAGCGGACTTTTCATCTGACTCCTTCTTTTCTTCGGTGGCAGTTGCATCTCCTAAAACCAATCAAGTAACACGAGTTAGCGCACGAGCTCGGCAACACACTTTGTCTAGGAGATCAGAGCAAAGGAGGGAGAAGGAAAAGAGAACATTTGGGCGCCACTTACCCGATGGCTTCTCTTCCGATCCATTGGCCGTCTCCTCCTTCTCCTTGGTTGCCTCTGGCGCGGACTCCTTGGGTTCAGCAGGGGCGCGCTCGACCGACTCAGCGGCGTCGGGGGCAGGTGCCGAGGCAGTAGGGGTATCCTCAGCCATGATGCGCGACAAAGCTCAATAAAAAGTAGATCAAAAACAGCTCCACCTGAGGTTCGCGGGAATCAAAAGTTTGCAATGGAAGAGGTGGTGGATAGGTCGAGGTGGATGTGGGTGAGGGAAGAAGTGGTGGAGAAGGTCGCGACGGAGGGCGGGAAGTTGATTGACAACGCGTGCACTTCCTTTTGCCGGGAAAAAAAGCGCTGCCAGACCGCAAATGACGCAACGCTCACCAGCAACCACAACAAATGGGAATTTCCACAACTCGCGACAGCTGTTTGTCACTGAGCCTCACAGGTAGTCAGGTAGCCAAATATACTACCGCTGAGGATGCAAGTTTATCCACGTGAGACTGCGTGATCTCACTACGCGACGCGACCCCAGTCGTTCAACAAGCTTTCGCAGTTATTCGCAAGAGCTTGCCCTGTAGACTCAAGGTCACACAACTAGCGATAAAGCTGTGATAAAGATAATAGTAGTAACAGTGGAAGAGATAAATAACGCGTAGAATGGATGGCAATCAGTGATTCAGCTGGTGCCAAACGCGAGGAAGCTGCACAGCCAGTAGTGGTCGAAAAAGAGACAGCAAAGAGACCTGCCACCTGAGTGTCAAAGAATCTCAATCTTTGTCACGGTGGTAGGATGAGATAGACGCGTTGCGCAGATCTATGCTTTGTGAAAGTGGTGGTTGATGCAGAAAAGCCAAGGCATCCGAAGCAAGGCAATTAGTCTGATGAGACAGCAATAGTCTGTCACGCGAAAGGAACCTGGTAAGTATTTTTAGTATAGGATACAATCAAATATTAACCTGATTAGAGGGGATGGGCAATGAGTGAATGAACGAACGAATGGCCGACTGACCTTGTGCCACAATAACAAAGGTCAACAGTAACACCTGAATTGAAGGATGTCAACTACTACCTTGTATAGCGAAATTCAAAACCCCACATTACTTGATGGCGACAAGCGGAGGGGTGGGAAATGATAAGTGTTTGGAAGATTGTTCTGGTGCAGTGAAAGAGGAGGTAAAGTGAGGTCTCCCGATAGTCGTCATCCACTCCATCTCTGCTATTACTACTATATCCATGTGCCACCCAGTCCAAACTGTAGTCTCTTGCTTTCCCCAGTGTACGCCGTAATTTATTATTCCATGAGGACGCAAGAAGAAATAAAATAAAATAAAATAAAAACAGAAAGAGAAAGGGAAATTTATTAAACCAGTACAAGGCCTCAACTCCTAAAGCTCTAATGTATAGAGGCCGTATTGTACAGTTAAATCCGTGTCGATAGCAACAATCCACAGCTTAATATGGAAACAGATCCTTCTAGGCAGATACAACGTACTCATTTGCTCAAGGCATAAATCCTCTTATTCTTTTAGTCCTTTTTTTATCTCTAAGTAGTTATTAATGGTACGCTGATGTGCGACTCTAATGTTCTATATCAGTGTCAATATACCAGTTGAAACACCCGACCGTCCCAGTCCCAAATGCATATGAAACAAAAGTACAGATAAATGTATACATGAATATGTATGAATGAGATATGCGCCCATCCCTGAGGGCAAATGAAACAAAAAACACAAAACCCGTATAAAGCCACCGGTATTTATGAAAACGCCAAGTTGATTGAATTCCAATCGACATCAAAAGTGCGCGTAGCTGCCTCGGGGCAGACCTGGTCTGACCGCGGCCTGGCAGCTTGTCTCTCACTAAAATTGGATGAACACTGATGAGGGGTATATACCACCATTCACGGCGATGGATTGTAACCTTCTTCCACAGCCACCACAGCCAAGACAGCAATATCATCCACTTTCCCGCCACGGTACCAGTCGCCGGGGTAATATCGTTGGGCTTCTTTGGCAAAGGGTCCGTCGCGGCGCATATCCACGCTGGCCAATTTGGCTTCACCGGCAATGGTGGCGGCGAGGAGGGATGGAAGGCTGTATAGGTGGCTCTTGCTTGTGGAGCGCTGCTGTTGGGAAGTTTGGGTGGATGATGATGGGATGAGGGAGGCAAGGCCCTCAGGACCAGTAAGTTGATCGAGATCGGTAGAGGGTTTGATTCCAACGTCGGGTGTGGCGGTCCAGGCGCCTGTGAGTACCATCCGACTGGTTATGAGCTTAAGGATGTCCTGGTTATTGAGGTTGTCGAAGACGCCGTCTGTTGCAAGGAGGAGCACGTCGCCATGCTGCATGTGGAGGTTGGTGACGGCCGCGTCGCGCGGAAAGTCTTCGAGGAAGGCACCACCGAAAATAGATGCTTGCTTGCGCATCCGCGGTGGAATGATGCTAAGCTGGTAGGGCGTATTGAAGCCGTGGGTTTGCGGGATCGAGTAGTGATGTACGGCAGCAAGACGGAGAAGGACTGAGCCTGAATCACCTAAATTTGCCAGTTCGACCCGTCCGTCGTCCAAGCCGATACCCACCGAGGCGGTGCAACCGCCAGCGCGAATCGATTCATCGGCAACAACTTGATCGTAGCCGGCCTGGAGGAGGCTCTTTGCACGCAATTGTTCCGCCGGGGCGTTCCAATCAAGGGCGGATTCCGCCATATATCCACACAGCGCGTGTGAGAAGTCCGCAGGATCGACTCGAGACTCCGCCCAGCCTCCTACCCCGTCTGCGACGGCAAAGGCGACCGCTCCGTTATCGTGTTGGCCGACTCTGCTCACGAAGAATGCATCCTCTCCACTATCAGGCCTCCGTTGGCGCCGGATGGCCGGACTCTTCACATCTGTGGCCACCCCAATGGCATGGTGACGCTGGGGATCAAAGTCGGACGTGTTCTTTGCGGGGTGGAAACGACGGCCTTTGCCGGAGGATGAAGCGGCAATGCGGTATGAGATGCGCGGGGGGTTCGAGTCAAGCGACCGTGTCGAATGGAAGGATCGTCGGGGTGGAGGAAAGGAGGATGATATCGGAGAGGATCGGGACCATGGCGTGCTGGTCGAGAACGAGGCCAAGAGCCTACCTCTCGTGACGGGTTGTAGCCTACTGCAGGTTGGACTGCAGGCTCTACGGAGAAAAACCAGAGGGGTCATCGGCAGTGACCAGATCGTCGCCGAAGGGCACTAAGTAACGCAATTCAAACCCTCGCGAAAGAGCGATAGGGAATTTTGCTTTGACCCGTCTGTTAGGAACATGCAACAGAATGTCCCCTCGCACAGGGCCTGTCGTGCCGTGAAAGAGAGTGAGCAGACCCTCCCGCTGAGCCAAGTATTGAATCTAGAGACAACGGTCGGTATATATACAGCGGAAGGACGAAATTCGCGGTCGTGTTTGATATCTCCCGAGGGGGTTTGAACACTGGGATTCGGCACCATTTTTCAAATTACAAATAATGGATTGCCGACCGCCTGTCGTCATCAATCGACCGCCTCCATTCTTTAAGTGGAGTGACCAGTGCCAACGTTGGGATACGGTCGTTTGATTGTGATTTGAGTGCCTCGCGACTGGATATCTCCGTGGTTAGCCGACTGAAGCCTCTGAATTGCCCACGTGTTGGAGTAAAAAGAATAAAACGAGAGGATTGACAATACCGATTGGGTCTGTCTAGACCATAAGGTGATACTCGGGCCGATAAGCATAAATCGAGCGTTCATCAAGGACAGACATGGCAATAGTGCCGTATAGAGAATTTCTGTAGCTTGAAGCAACATGTAATCGAGTACGTTAGAAAAAAGAAGGCTGCGGTGTTGTGACATTGTGGTGGTGTGTCTGTTCACTCTCGCCGTTCATTTTCTCATCTTGCCGCTTCCTTTCGCGTCACCTTCAAAATTTCAAGAGAAAAAGGGAACTCCTCCGTCCGAACTTCCACTAACCCACACCGTTCCCTCAAACCTCCGACTCCCTTCAAACAACCCGCTGCTGTACCTTGTGGTACAAACCCACGCGAATCATTCCGTCCGACTTGTTGAAAAGGTGTTGGGCAGTCTGATCGACGCCCGTGGTCCTATTGCCCACGATGATGCACCCATCCAGACAGGCATATGTGGAGGAGGCGGCGGTAAGAGCTACCCTTTTGTTGTTCGAATCAATCGATCCTGAATCCCATAGACTTGGGGATGGTAACAGATGATCACAATGCATTTACAAGGCTTTTTCTCTTAAGATCACTGACATCCAATGGCTCGGCTCATAGGACACCGAAATGGGTATTGATCTGGCCAATCTGCGTAAGTACAACAACGACTCCCCTATCAAGTTAAGTATCGTATGTATCTTACTCGAACTTCACTAACTGATCTGTCTCATCTAGCTGTTGACCGCGATTATGAGATCCCCTCCGCTGCGGCGGGCATCCCGTCGGAGAGAGCATCCGCTATTCTATCCCAATTTGAACGCAAACGAAGAGCTGCTGCGATGGTGGTCCCGACCGACGATAGTCGAGTACGCGCGCGATTACGAGAGCTCGGAGAACCCATCACTCTGTTTGGCGAAGGCCCCGCGGACCGGAGAGACCGACTACGAGAGCTTTTAACCGACCGCGCCGAGCAACAGGATGCGGCGGCAGCAGAGGGAGATGTGGATATGGGAGAAGCGTCTGAAGAGGCTGAGGAGGAGGAAGCAGAGCAGCAGGAGGAGTTTTACACTGAGGGTTCCCAAGATCTGTTAGAAGCACGGAAAGCGATCGCGCGATTCTCCCTTCCGCGCGCAAAGCAGCGCGTGGCCCGACAGAGAGAAGAATCGACAATTCCACTCCGGACGCACATTAAGCACCGTAAAGCGGTTAAGGAGAAGCTACATGGGTTTGATCTTTACGGTTCGCAGATTGCGGGTGATCGTCCAGTCAGCATCTGTCGCTTTGCGCCGGATGGGCAGACCATCGCTACAGGTAACTGGGGCGGTGGGATTAAGCTGCTTACGGTGCCAAACCTGGAGGAAAAACGGTCATTCAAAGCACATACAGATCGGGTGGGTGGCCTGTCATGGTTCCCAGGTGCTACACTGTCGACGTCCAATGTTTCCGAGTCGACCGTCAACCTCGTTTCGGGAGGTGGCGAGGGAAATGTGTGTCTGTGGTCGCTTGATCAGGATCAACCGATAGCTACACTGTCAGGCCACAGTGGTCGGGTGTGTCGAACGGAATTCCATCCATCCGGGAGATATGTGGCGTCCGCGTCCTATGACACAACTTGGCGGTTATGGGATGTTGAGACGACCGCGGAACTGTTGCTCCAGGAAGGTCATTCTCGTGAAGTCTACACAGTATCATTCAACAATGATGGTTCTCTTCTGGCTAGTGGAGGACTCGACAGCATTGGACGTATTTGGGATCTTCGGACGGGTCGGACTGTGATGATTCTTGAAGGCCATATCCGTGAAATTTACGGTTGTGACTGGGGTGTGGATGGGTATCGTGTCCTGACCGGCTCAGGTGACGGCTGGGTAAAGTGCTGGGACTTGCGTCAAGTACGGAATACTGGTGGCATCGGTGCACATAAGAGTGTCGTGTCCGACCTTCGGTGGTATAAAGGAACAGAATCTGCCAGCTCCTACTTGCCGTCTACCGATGGGCAGAGTGGCCGGATGGATGTGGACGGCGATCAATCCTCACAGTCGACACCTGTACAACCCAGGAAGTCGGGCACTTTCTTTGTGAGCAGTGGATTTGATAAGAATGTCAACGTTTTTAGTGCGGACGACTGGTCATTGGTGAAGAGCCTGAGTGGCCATTCAGGCAATGTGCTGAGTACTGATATCAGCGATGATGCGCAGTGGATCGCTAGTTGTGGCCACGACCGCACAGTGAAGCTTTGGGGCATCGATGGGTAGGATAGCTGAATATGCAGCAATATAATAACGGGGTCAGTTTGCCCAATCTATGACCCTGCAGTACAGGTCACTACTTCAGAATCTAGGTAGTCCATTGCTCCATAGATATGGGAGCATTACTTGTCCGGGCGCAGCCTTTTGGGATTTTTCCGCGGTCATACAAGCATGGGCAATCTCGAGAATCACGAACCAATGCAATTCATGGAACTTCTTACATTTAGTCACCAACAGCCGTACACTGAGAAATCCAATGAATATCAAAAGTAAGCTCTCGGACTATGACGTAAATTGCCGGAACTCTCTCCGTTTTCTCCGAGGCCAGAACCCCATGCTGACTAACCGGCCCTATATTAGGTTTGCCCGATAAGCATCAATTCTCCAACTCAATCCGAGTATTCTCTCCTCGTGTAATCTACAACCATTACTCGTACAGTCTACACATATTGTCTTTTCAGACCAACTTGGAACCTGAATCGGGCAAATCAGAAGAAGATGGCTGCATCCCTTCGCCCTCAGAGACTGCTCCCGCGGCTCTCCTTTACAACCTCCCGAGCAACATCAGGAAGCCGGCCTTCGTTCCCCGAGCAAACACCAGGGGCATGCCTCCTTTGCCAGTTCAGGCCGCAAAGTACCGTTCGCGTACCACGTGAATATCATATTCAGCAACCCCGTCGCTTCGCTTCCACATCTCCCTCCAATGCTACCACGACTGATAACAACGGCACGGTCCAAAACATCCCCGACATCACGAACCACTACACTATCTTCCCCAAGACCCTCCCAGCAGGTCCACCGCCTAGCTCACCCTTTCACATATCTGTCAGCGACCTGCGACGCGAGTTTCTTCAGCTCCAGGGTACAATCCACCCGGACAAGTACCCGCCGGGCCCATCGAAACAACAGGCCGAGGCCCTCTCAGCCCGCATCAACGAAGCCTACCGCACGCTGTCTGATCCGCTCGCGCGCGCACAGTACCTCCTCCGCGAGATGCATGACATCGACGTCACAGCCGAGGACGGCGCCGCACACCATGCGCTCGACCCGGAGACACTGATGGAAGTAATGGAGGTGCAGGAGACGATCGAAGAAGTGGGCGCCGAACCCGGCGCCGAGTCCACGATCGCCGAGCTGAAGAAACAAAATGAGGCCCGTGTAGTAGACTGTGTGGAGAAGCTAGCGAACGCCTTCGATACGGGCGATCTGGAGTCCGCAAGACAGGAATGCGTGCGCCTGCGCTTCTGGTATAATATTGCTCAGGGTCTGAAGGAGTGGGAGCCCGGTCTCACCGAGATCAGACTGGTGCACTAGATCTCTTCTCGTCTTTTGGGCTGCCAACCTTTTGGATTGGATCCATATATGGCCATGGCCTGTCATGTCTAAACTACTGTGTACGATACAATGCTGTCGACGTAAATACCCTCATGCCATAGAAGTGTGCTGTGTTTCCATGTTGAATTGTTGAAAGCACAGCCGGATATTATGAGAACTCTCCTCTCAAGCTCAGTTTATCGAAACCTAGACCATCATGGTAATTCAGAGATA